CCCCCTCCCTCTCCCCCTTGCCGGACAGCGCTCCCTTCCCTCTCCCCCTGGCCCGGGGAGCGCCACCACCAGCGCCCGCGCAGGGTGCGGGTGGTTGCTTTTGCCAGGAGTCCGCCATCTTCTCTTGCTGTTTGACTTGGCTTTGTTTGCTCTGTCTAAGAGGTTTAGGCGCCTGCCGGCCCCGCCCCGCCCGCTCGCGAGCAGCAGCAGCAGCAGCAGCGCCGAAGCGCCCCCTGTGTGGGCGCAAAGCAACGCCGGCCGGCCGGAGACCGAGCGGGGGCTGGGGGTGCATGCACCCCGGACAACCAGCGCGCCCCTTCGACATCGTCGCAAGCATGTCAACAACGGGACCAAAATACCTCCGAAAACACTCACTTTTTAAGCAAAGCCCGTCGTTGGTGGGAATGAATTTGTATTCGTCGGTCCTTCCGACTGGGACGCGCTACCTGTGGCGGCCGCTATCGCACGCGGAATGGACAGATTGCATGGAGCTGCGCCACACCGGCGGTTTGTTTCAATTAAAACGCAAATCACGCGCAGCTTGTGTCGGAAAGGGGGGGGCGGGCTGTGGGAGTGGGGAGGGGGCGTCATTGAAATAAGGGCATTACCCGTAAACAACCCTACCGACCGCGCGCGTGTGCGAGAGAGATAGCCGATCGATTCTAATGAATCACATGTATAGATAGATATATACGAGCTGTGCTCGCCGGTTGGTATCTGTTTTGGGAAGGGAGTGAGGGAAGGGTGAGTGGGCGGGTGCACTTTGACAAGTATTCTGGCGGTTTCGACATTAAGAAATAATCCCCCCCTCCCATTTCTCGCCCACCCTGGAAGTCGTTCGTATACTCTTTTACTTCGTCTACGTCTTCCAAACATTTATTCAACATTCAAGCAGATAACGGCAAGTGATAATTTACGAGTCGCCGTGGATATCCTGGCCGAGGTCCACGTCAAGCGAGGGGAGCGCCTCCAGGAGTGCCTTGGCCTCGTCCGAGTCCCTCTCTGCGTTGACCCTGAGTCGGCGCAGAGCGGGCAGCGAGCGCAGCGCGGCGAGCAGCACCTGCAGCTCGGCGGGCTCGGGCGACCGGCTCACGCTGTAGATGCCCAGCGTCTCGACGCGGGAGCGGCCCGACGACGCCAGGGCGGCGACGAAGTCGAGGCAGTCGGCGTGCACGTGGCACCAGGTGAAGTGGACCTCGCGCAGCTGGACGGCGCGGCGGAAGAACGCGGCAATCGACTCGCGGCAGGCGGGCGACACCTCGTCGTCGACGATGAGCGTGAGTTCTCTGAGGGACTCGCACGCCGCCACGGCCTCCATGTCGGGCAGCATCTGGCACTCGAGCTTGGCGAGGCGGAGGAGCTTGGCCAGCACGAGGCCCATCCTGGACGACGGCGGCCAGGCCTTGAGGGAGACGATCTCGACCTCCTCCAGGGTGGCGGCGTGCGCGGCCAGCAGGGCGTTGACGGCGGGCTCCAGCCGCGAGTCACGCGGGCGGCAGGTGAAGTGCGTCAGGGACGGCGGGACGGTGACGTGCAGGCACGAGACCCCGTTCTGCATGGGTCGCTTCGGGTCGTCCTCGTCCCCCTTGATCGTCAGCTTCTCCAGGCCCGGCGTAGACGCCAACGTCCCGAGCAGCACGGACACGTCCGCCTTGACGGCGGACTTGGCGTCGCAAGGGCACGGGCTGTAGAGGGTCAGGTCGACCTCCCGCAGCCTGCCGAGCAGCCCCTGGTGCCGGACGAGCAGCGCGGCCTGCCAGGACCCCGCACCCCCGTGGACCGTGGAGATGGTCAGCCGCCTCGCGGCGCACGGCGACGTGAACAGCAGGTGGCACCCGGTCTCCGGCGGCAGCTCGATCCTCATCGAGTCCACGCACGAGCCCAGTCGCAACCCGGCGCTGAACAGGGGACAAGGGTTGCACGAGTTGCAGGCGTTGGTCAGGCGTCGGCGCCGCCACGCGTCCGGGTGCAGGGCCAGGCGCGCGAGCCGCTTGCAGACGAGGCGGCACTGGATGAGGTCGTCCAGGGGCAGGCGCGACAGCACCAGCAGCATGGCGTCGTCCGGCAGGTCAGCCATCTGAAATGATACGAGCGGTCACCAGAAGTGCGAAAGTAGGGACATCCTCAGGACATCCCAAACAGTGCAAAAGTACATCACATCACATACTGAAATGTGAATGGCATCGGTGGCATGGGCAGAAAAGTGAGAAACGAGTTCAAACAGGGCTACAGTGGTCAGCCAGAGAAATTTCAACTTCAACAAGGGTTATATTGACTGCTTGTTCACATAGCCAACTGGAGCCACCCATTCCTCGGTCCATCCCCTGCGGTAGGCTAGTGCCATCACGTCCATGAGGGGCTGCGCTGCACACTCCCTTCCATTGATCACGACATCATTCAGAAAAGGTCGTCCGCCAAACTGTCAAGTTGCGCCCCATAGCGCCTGGTAGGTAGGCAACATCTCGACTGCAGTGCATGCGTGTACTGTGGGTTGGCCTACCCTGAGCCTCGCAGGCGCCAAACTGCCGTAATTTGCTGAATACATTTGACAAAAACGTTTTTTTTCTCGAAACAATTCCTTATCGTAACATAAGTTCGGCTGGCAAGCCACCTACATATATTCGATAAGAACTAACAAAGTAAAAATCACCTTTCGCAATGACGTTTTTCTACAAAAAACGCCAACGCTTCTGACGGAAGGCGACATCCTGGTCTGTTGATCACTTTCTATTAGTGCAAACAAAATATATGTTGTAAGTGATTAGAATTTGTGTATTTATTAAAGTACATATATACGTACACCGTGCCGTGGTACATTTGATGATATATATTTTCGAAAAGTATCTGTAAACACATGCAAGTGTTTAATTTCTTAAAGATCAGAAAAGTAAGAGTCAAGATGCACATCGAGCGAAGGGTTCGCCTCCAGCAGTGTCCTGGCCGCGTCCGAGTCCTTGTCCAGAGTCATCTCGAGCTGGCGCAGGGCGGGGAGCTTCGGGAGCGCGCTGAGCAGTCCCTGCAGCCGGGAGGGCTCGGGTGCCCGTTCGTCACGGTTACTGTAGGTGTCGATGCGCAGCCGCTCCACGCGGGACCGCCAGGACGACGCCAGGGCGCTGACGTACTCGAGGGCGCAAGGAAGATGTGCGGATATGCACACGGTCACCAGCTGATGGGCGCGGCGGAAGAACGCGGCCGTCACCTCCCGCCTGGCGGGCCCCAGCGGGGGGTCCACGAGGAGCTTCAGCGTCCTCAGGGACTCACACGCCGCGAGGGCCTCCATGTCGGGGAGCATCTGGCACTCCAGCTTGGTGAGGTTGGGCAGCTTGGCCAGCAGGTGCGTGGTCGCGGGCGAGCGGGACCAGGGGTGCAGGCAGACGACCTCGATTTCCCTGAGGGTGTCGGCGTGCGCGGCGAGCAGGCAGTTGAAGACGCGCTCCAGGCGCGCGTTGTTCATCAGGAAGTAGAGCCTCGTCAGCGACGCCGTGCCGGCGCTGTGGATGCAGGTGGGGGCTCGCTTCCAGGGTATGAAGTCGCCCGCGCCGTGATCACCCCAGACATGCAGCAGGTCGAGGCCGGGCGTGGACGCCAGCGTCCCGAACAGCAGGGCGGCGTCCCCGTCGGTCGGCTCAGCCTCGCCGTCCGTAGGACTGCAGAGGTGCAGGTTGATCTCCCGCAGCCTGCCGAGGCCGCCCTGGCGCCTGATGAGCAGCGCGGCCTGCCAGGCGCCGGCGCCGCCGGAGGCAGAGATGTGCAGCGTCCTGGCTGCGCAGGCCGCCGTGAACAGCAGGGCGCACGCGGCCGCCGACGGCAGCTGCACGTCGATCCCGTCCACGCACGGGGCCAGCAGCAGCGCGACGTGGAGCACGGCCGCCGGGGTGCGCGGGCGGTGGTAGGTCCCGTACCCGTGGAGAGTCACGCGCCTCCACACGTCCGGGTGCACGGCCAGGAGGGAGAGCCTCTTGCAGACGAGCCGGCATCGGATGACGTCCTCCAGGGGCAGGAGCGACAGCAACAACAGCAGCACGTCGTCCGGGAGGTCCTCCATCTGCAAGGATGTGTCGCACGGTTTTAGGACACGCCCGAGGACACACCAGCGGAAGATGAGGTCCCGTATCAAAAAGGGGAGGGATACGAGTACAAGCCTGCCCCGAGTGGCCGCTGCGCATATGCTCGCAATCCCTCTCAGGACATCCTGAACGGGCTCCGCAGCACAACCATCATGCAATGGGGATCCGCTAAGCAGCGAGGCGCCGCCCTGGCGAAAACGGTAACTCTAGTTTCATGTTTCTACAGAGTTTTAAGAACGTTTCCAGCCAGTTTCGTCGGCGTAAACGGCGTGAAAACTCTTAATGATGAAGAAGAAACCGGGATATGGCTGTTTCTACAGAGTTTTCAATAACCCTGTAGAAACACGGTGCTGTAACTCGCCGGAAACAGCCGAGAAACATGTGGTACAGAGTTATTGAGGAGTTTCCAGAAACACGGTTATAACTGTCACCAGAGTGAGTTTCCAAACGGTTTCCACAGCGTTACGAAAAACGGTTTGCTCGTGGTTTCTGACAAACGGTCTGCAAACTCTAAGAAAAGTAGGTACAGCGTGTTTTTGTGTGGTTTCCGTTAACATGGTGATAACCTCATACGGCATAAGTTTCTAAACGGTTTCTTCAACGTTATGAGAAACTTACCCAGCCAAAAATGATAATTTCTTTGACGTCGATTCGACCTCGACACCTCGATTTGAGTGGCAAAATTGCGTTTTTCGAGCATCGTCGACGTCGATTCGACTGTACTGTACTGGAAACATATTACAGCTGGTTTTTGAAACATCCCGAACAATTAGTACTCAATAAGCGGAAATCTCCCTGAAAAGCCACCATACAATTTTCCAGAAAACTGTGATATCTTCAGAAACTGCGTGAAATCCTAAACTGTTAACACAAATGTTCAACTGTACACTTACAAGTGTGCACCTTGTTTTGCTATTAGAAGACTCGGGAAGGTTTGAGGTTATACTTTACTGTGGTTGGTTCAGTGGTAGATATATGGTTTATTGAAGACTTACATGAA